CGAGCGAGGGACAGAGAAAGAGAGAGAGAGAGAAGAAAAAGCAAAAGATAAACTCACGGTTGCATTGTAAATGCCTCCCCACCATGCTCAAGTACTCTTGCAAACTGACCAACATAAACAGAATCAATCACAGATTCGTTACTTCCATTCTTCTCATCAGCAATTTCTGACATTGATAATGCAAGTTCCAAGCACGAACTCTTCTGTTTCAAATATTGAGCTGCTGACTGTTTCAGGGTAGATAGTAAGATATAATTAAGATAAAGAAATGTGGAAGTCCAACTACAAAACTGATTTAATGCTTAAAAAGAATCAGGCAATTAAAAAGGAAAAGAAGCAGGCCACATATTTGGTCTAACCCTATTCTTCTGTGCAGACACTAATTTAGCTAGCCATTTCCAATAATCTGAGAATGATCTGGCTATAGCTAATTCTGAGGTTCAGTAGCTAGGACTTTGAATCGGCAAGAGCCAAGTATCACCCCCCCCCTCCCTTTTCTTTTTTCCCAAGGAAAAATTTCCCAAAAACACCTTTCAATAGTCTTGAAAGGATTGAGGCATGTAGAGGTAATAGAGATGTCAATTTGCTATTTCCTGTTATTAGGACAAAGAAGAGTGAAGAGTTCTCCCAGATGACATATGATAGTGATGTTCACATCTCTATTTAGCATTCTTACATTCAGTGCATTTAATTAAATATCTATGACAGAGATATAAAGGGATTGAGAAGCCAACTTTGGTTTTTTCTTGTATGCAAATACTTTCCTCCCTTGTAATAAATTCTTTTTTTCCAGCTAGAGAATATAATGAACACTAAGACAAATGCAAGATACAACACTTTTTGAATCAAATTATCCTACTATGAGTTTAGGGCCCATTTTAATTGAAGTTGCATAGAAAGGATATCCACAAACCTGGTAATAATAAGCTGGATAGAATTCCCATTCAGTCAATTTATCTGCAGTTCCTGAAGTTGGAGATGAAATGTTTTGGACAGCAGCAGAGCTGCTCTCTAAAAGTTCAGCAAACACCAAATATTGCCTGCTTAACCACTCCCAATGAAGAAAATTAGCATCTGGTGCTCCCACAAGCCTCCTATAAGTATCAGTGTGGCGGCGGAACCATATAATTGCTTCTGCTAATTTTCCACTATGCATGAGCAAAGTTGAAATTTTAAAATTCAACTGCTCTGCCACAGTCTTGATTTCAACTAAGCGTAAAATTGGAGACAATCTTGTAGAAGCCCCAACCATCTGCAAACAAGCACAGAAATAACAGAATTATGATTCCTAACAGCATATTCTATATGTTTTCTACACACACGCCAACATCTATGTCAAGAGAAGCTGATAAAGACATAATATGAACCAATTGAACTCGTCTTGTGGTAAAAAACAACAGCTGTTTACCAAAAGGAAGCAGGCTTCCTCTCCATAAGCGTCAATATGACCTATTAATGTGCACAATACCATCCAGCTTGGAAAGGTGAATAAATCAATATTCTCTTCTACTTGCATTGTAATGAACCTAAACTAGCCTACATAGCTGCAATCAAAGTGCAGAAATTTAAACTCATTCTCAAGTATTTTGAGATCTGCTAAATACATCTTTTAAGTAATTGATTTTGAGGCTGCAAATACACTTAGATTCCATAAAGCTAGATGGCATGTGTTAAAGTAGTAAATTTCTGCATAGTTGGGAGGGCTTGGAGGAGATTTATGAGTAATTTCCACAGACATTAAAATGAGTACTTTTAACATAAAAAGGAGGACCCATATTAGCTCACCATTTAACTACCGTAAGAACTCCCAGGGTGAAAATTTCTTTTTCCTGTAAGCTTGCCTTTGCCATGGATAACTGGGTATTATAGTCTAAGTTGCAATTGCTTTCTAATGGCAACAATATCATTTAGTGCATAAAAAAAAACTGTATCCTACTATTCACCATGGCATATAAAGCAGAAGACAGTTGCCTAACCAAGGTTATCATGAGCTAATAATAACTTTATGAGACTAATTAGATTGTTATCTTATGAAAGAAAATTATACCTCTCGCACTGAATGGTAGGCTTCATCATATAGCCTCAAAGCTTCAGCCCAATCTCTACGAAATTCTGCATATACCCCAACCTAGCAATACAGAAGTTCAGGCAAATAATCAGACAAGGAAGAAATATGAAGCACAAGAGAGGAAAGATGGCAAGATACTGAGTTCAGCCCTTCATGTTCTGATCAAGTGTTAGCTCTTTTGATGCATTAATTTAGGAACATATTTAATCAACATAAAAAGTTAGCCTGCATTGAATACCATTTGAGTATGCAGGGATAAAGTTTCATCCTATATCAACCGAGGAAAGGACCTCTACACAAAAACAACTAAACCCCGATCTGAAAGTGAAGAAATACTCTACTGATGAATCATGATCAATACTTCCAGACAAATCCTGAATCTTGCGGATGACAAATTAAATTTCTAATTTTGTCAGCCTACTTTAAAGGCTCACAATTGCTTTTGTAGCTTGACTTGCATCTAGTTGCAATGCAAAAATTTTACACTATCGTAATAATGGTTCTGTTGCTTCAGGCATAATAGTATGCTCCATGTTGATTTCAATAGAACGTAAAAACTCCAATATCCTTGCATTGGCAAAGTAAACAAGTAAACTACTAGAACGAATTTTAAAACATGGAATGTAAAGGGAATATTATTTCACCAGTAATGCTTAGACAGCAGCTTATTTACCACAGTAGGATAAATTTGATTGCAGGAAGTTTCAGAAGACATGATTCTACCTTGAAGAACAGGATTTATTATTACATTTTCCTCATACTCATTTTAGGCAGATGTTAGTTCACAAACTCATCGAATGGAAAATTGAACAGCAAAAAGAATCCTCTGCCATATGTAGCACCAGGAAAATAAAAACTATATCAGATTGGATCCTAAGCATTGCATTGTGCTAGTTGTAGGTAATTTGACTTTCAAAATGTTAGGTATCCGTGAATATAGTTATTTTGTCCAAAAACATGGCTTTAAACAAGAAATATAAAACAAATATGAAAAGCACAGAGAAAAAATGAGCCATGATAGACTAAAAATTACTAACTTTAAAACAGTAGCGGATGTGCAACTCTATGGAGATCGAGCTCTTCCTATCAATACGTGTTTTAACTCGCCGCCCTTCCTCTCTGTAATATGTATTTGCCAGTTCCCCCAATGTGCTCCGGAGTCTGCAATTGAATTCTTGTTAAGGAACCAATATACAACACAAGCTATATTGAAAGACCATCATCCTACTATTATCGATGAAATGGCGTGCCTGGTTAGGGATTGTTTAAGCTCCCCTGGATCATCAGGAACAAAGGTAATTATGTACTTTGAATCTACTTCAGCCCTCTTCCTAAGAGCAATCATTCGATCTTCGCTAATCTCATCTGCATTAAATCATTACAAACAAATCAAAGAATTCAACAACTCCCCAGCATCCAATTTTACGCCAATAAAGTCACGATGTATACCCAATCTCAAAACGTGAAAATTACATTTATGCACGTCATGAAAAACTCACCTCTAGAGCTTGACTGGGTTACCACCACCACGATAAGTTTGATGTTCCTTCCTTTAGTCACTCCCCTGCCCATTTCCGAATTATCAAAACATAAGCAATTCATCTGGACCATAAATTTAGTTACCCATAATCTACAGAAATATATAAATCAAGTCCATTGAAAGACACTGTCGGGTAGTAAACATAGTTATGATGTAAAAAAGGACCATACTTGAGGTTTTCGAGGTCGGTGCAGACCTGAAGCCACTGAGCAGGGTCACCGGAAATGTGGTCGGAGCTGAAGAGAGCGGCAACAACAGCGGGAATTTTAGTCCGGTGCTTGGAAAGCCAGTCTCTTTTCAAAATACCATCGACCGGCCGTCCCGGACCGGCGTTTTCTTTGGGAGTTCTCGCGAACAATGTGATTTTGGAGAAATCGGGCAATGCCAGGGCGTTGATTGGTGGCTGTTCGGCGTGGAGGTGAGAAGTGATCCGCGAGTGAAGCTCCGGGCATCCGACCAAAGCTGCTAGAGCTACCGGCGGAGTGCGGAGTTCTCCTGGGTACTCCTCCATTGCTTTAATTGGTTTATTTACAAGAAAATTAATATTTTTTCTCGGTAGGGGTGAAGTGAGGGGATTATGTTGGAATGGGAAGACGGAGAGTTTTGCGGCGGAGATCGGAGGTTTTGGGTGGGACTCAGGCGAGGCGAGTTGACTCGGGCGGGAGTTAACTAAGTAGCGAGTAGCGAGTAGTTATGCTTTGGACTTTTGGATGGAGACCTTTAGATTAGCCCACCTTCATAGTTCATTTCCTCTATTGTAATATATATGTATACATACATAAAATACAAGAGCCCGCCCGAGAAAAGAAAGAAAACAAAAAATTTTTGCACTGATGGGGTCAACTCCCTGGAAAAGTAAAATTATATAGTTCTTCGATTAATCATTGCTTAAAAGCCACCACCTAAGTGGGTGGGGTGCGAGACAAGGATTCAAATCTTGCTTCTCACCAAAAAATATCACATTTAAGTAATTTATTTCTAAAAAATTCAGACGAATGTGCTGTACACCCGTCTAATTCAATTCGGTGGTAATTCAGTCCCTCTGGATTATTCTTGGACCTCTTTAGATCCATCCATTCCCTCTTAGTGTAGGATAGAATAGATTTATCATTTTTCAAAAAAAAAAAAAAGATTAATCATTGCTTGGCTGATCCTTTTGGACGCAAACGATGCCGTTAACTTTTTTTTATTTTATTGGGGGTAGTTCAATCAATACCCACAATTGTGGTGAGTTGGAATTCCCAAAATTGAAGAGAAAGAAAGAAAAAAAAAGAGAACAACAGATGGAATTTGGCCCGATTATTTGTTGAATGTATATTCTAGCTGAACAAGATAAAGACATAGCCAAGCTTGCAAGATGGAGCGATTCGGTCGCATTAGGGTCCAGGAATGTGTTCAATAAAGGTAGAAAATAGTACATGATCATTTTTTGTATATGAATGCAATATCCAGTTACATATTTATACTAAGAGAGTACCAGCAAAATTAGACAAGAAGAAATTCAAAGACGTCCTGAAACGCAATACAGTACTCGAAAGGTAAATCCCCTTTGTTTATATTGGCCTATGTTCCCAGAAAGAGCACTCGAGAAAAGAAAAGGAGCTAAAACTCAGCTAAGAAGTAAGAACCTAGAGACCTGACCTGACCTGACCTACCTACAGAATCATATCTTGATCCAATAGAATGTGATTGCAAGAAACCCGCATCCTGCAACCTGTTACTCTAAATTTAAAATCTGAACAGTGTCAAAGGACTTGTTTGTGCAGAGTTTTACACTGACTGCGACCAACACGAGCTCTGGATCCTCGTTAAATCAGTCATCGTCTCATCCAGTTATGACAATAAGAGGATGGAGCTGTAACAGTACAACCCCGCCGAGAGATGGCTAAAAATTGTTGCAGTGACCACCTTGCCACAGCAAGCTTGAATATGCACTTTGGACTCATCAGACTCGATAGTGAGAGATGCAATAGGAGCTACCCCTCCTAAGTCAGTTAAATGTAGCAAAAACAGAAGGAAACAGAATGGAAAGTTCAAAAAGTTTGCCCCTTAAGAACTGCCCTTTGCACATGCTGACAGAAGAGCAATCCACGCCCTTCGTCTGATCCGGGTATCGGAGCAGCTTCTTTTTTCTTTCCTTTTTTTTTTTGGTTATAAGGTATCAGAGCAGTCTCATATTATACAGGATGATCCGATGTACCCTTGGTGATCATGACTTCAGAAGACCTGCAAGAAACATACCAAGTTCAGTTGTTGAAATTCACATGATTCTGTTTCACGACTGAAAAAGTAATCCAGGTCATAAGTCCCACATAAATGGTTTAATATCGGGGTTAATAAACTTGGAAGACTAACACACAGCCCTCAAATTTTAGTCTAGGGCCAAGACATAATGAACAATATCACAAGGATGGCAGATATATAACTATTTGGTCCCAATTCCGAGACATAACATTGCAGCCCCTCTTTAGCACATTAGGACCTGCCCAATCATTGAACCCGTGACAAAAGCTCTGCCTAAATTAGGCGGCCTCTAATTTGAACCAACTGGAGGTCGCCTGCTGAGAACTACAAGCAGTACCATCCTAATAGCCATTCAGATTAAAGAAATGAGAAGTTTATGAGTCAGTTTAAGCGCACGAGTCCAGATATTATTTACTGGAAAACAAAAAGAAAATAATGTTGAAGTTGGTATAGCAGTTAAAGATCTCTATCAGGTGTCATGAATCCTTATGGTCAAACTAACATGAATTTGACTGACCATGTGATTCTTGAAAAATGAAACTATCAGGAAGTAAAGGACTAAGCATTTATAATTTTGTCGAAAGCCACTTTACACAATCTGTTAATATTGATCATTGAACTCAACCAAAATATAAGCACAGTATAGACCTCTCAGCACATTGCCTTGGTGATAGCCTGTCGTTTGTAGGATTTAATACTGCAAAAAGTACCTAAGCAAAATAAACCTACAGAATGAAGACCATATGGAACAGATTTGGAAAAGACCAGAAAACCAAGTAGATCCGAAGTAGCACAGTTATTTAAAGAAAGTAATTGTTTACAACAACAATTGCTAACTGTCTATTCGCATGTTGGTTTCAAACTCTTCAGAACTCAATTTCTCAGAATTCAAGCTGCAATAGAACCAGTACCTCTTGAATGCAGGGAAGTTAACTTGCAAGGTCAGATTTGAAGCCTGCTACCTGGGTACCTTAGTCCTCCATGTCAAGAATTACCTGCATACCACTGTGGTATTTAGGAGACAGAAGAAAAAGATAAGAAATGAAATGAAAAATTAGATGGATGTCTTATGACAAGGTTATCTTGTTTATGTATGAAAAATTCTGATAACAGGACTATAAGAAAAAGGTCAATGGTGATAGTATCTGTTTTCTTGCTCTACAGAAACGAAAACTAAAGAGTTGCCAGTTTCTTGAACCAAACAAAATTTGTACTACCTCCAAAGCTCACACAAGTGGTAAAGTTAATTTTCTTGGGGTCTCAACTGTCAACACCAGCTGGCAAATATACAGGCAACAAATTCCAAACTTTAAGCAACTTTTATCATTTTTAGGCAGAGTAAGAAACTGGTTGGCCAATTTCCCTCTTCTTTACCACCACCATAGTACCACCTCGCTTGGCCCAAGCCCACTACTCTCCACCAAAACAAACAAAAAAAAAATCTCAAACCTCTCTCTAGCCTATCCAAGCTCTCCAGCCCTACTCACGCAGACAAACACAGTTAATTCTTTGCAGAAAATTCATTTGTTTGCCTGTACAGAATGTTTGTACAGGAGCATATACAAATACTTGGATACTATGATAATTCATTGTATCCCTCACATATCATGCCATGATAAGCACAAAATGTTCTTTACTGATCTGATTTTGAATTGCTGACCTTAGCATATTATTAAAATTCAGGTAAAAGATTTTTAGTTGGCCGATTGGTATTGATGCTCATCATTTATAAGTTGATGTTCTTTAGCAAAGAGAAAGCTTGAAGTGGCAGACCATAAAGAAAAATAGAGACTTTTATCCAGTTTTTGGGGGGAGGGGGGGTGGGGGTGGACTTTATTTATAGCTTTTCCATACTAAGAAATCAATTTTCCTTTCTAATTTGCACAAGCTTCAAAAACCAAAGCTACTGGTAGTCCTGAAGGGGATGGCATCCTCTTATAATAGTTAGCAGAAAACATGTCCAAAGCACATTTTCTGTGACCCTCCACTTGAAAAAGACCTAAAATTACATATGCTTGTTGAGAAACGTAGACCAAAAACACAAGACTTTAATCAATCGCCCTAAAATATAGAAACTATTGAGCAAGTTTTTTTACTGACTTGACATATCAACCAACCAAATATTGAATGACAGAGATGAGTTTCACAACATTTAATATGGATCTCTGAGAACTAAGGATGCTTGAGACATGTAACTGCTATAAGCCTTCACAAAATTATCTATTAAAAACCTCAAAAAAAAATTGACAGAGATTCACATAAATCTGCTACAGGATAAGAAGCACTTGCTTGAGACTAGCATCTTATTTCAAGCCATCATGCAGTACAACTGCATAATTAGTCAATCTACTCACATCCAGTTAATTACCCAGTAAGGCTCAACAATGAGGCACAATCTAGAGGGGAGAACAATTATCTCTTTTGCAGAGACGTTCCCCAAAAGTACAATATCAGAACAAGATGCCATTTACATATGCCCAGAAGGTGATCAACAATAGGACAAAACTGATTTAGGTGTCTGTGATGCATATGCATTGAATCATAATTCATATACTGCTAGCAAAGATTTGAGACCTAGAGCATGTTATTGAATCCACCACAAATCTGTTGAATAAAGGTAGCAGCTAAGATATAAAGAGTGGTCTATGATCCACTAAGGATGAGTCATTTTGGACAAGATTTTCAAGGCACTACCCACTACAACAATTGTTAACTAAATTAACTTGATATACTAAGCTAGATCTATAATAAACTTCTAGTTTCCAAGTGCGTTTGAAGTGCCGGAGACGAATATACCAAATTCAAAGATAATCAGTTGTCTGGGCCACACTTAGCACCTGGAAAACGTAATGAAAAAAACATTGAATCAGATGATTCTTCACAAATGGGAATTTGAGTGCTTACTCGACTCACATAGCACCTAAAATGTGCAAGACTGCATCCAGAAAGCCAGCCATCAGAGCAGGAAACTAATATTATGTAACTGTCCAGGTAAATTACCAGAGCTCACCTATACGGAGGGAACTGCAGTCCTGGTTGGTAGCCATAAGTAGGTGGTAGCTGATACATGGGGTTTCCAACGTACAAGCTCCTGGGACTTTGAGTTTGTGGACCTCTGAAATAGGGTGCTGCAGACCTTATGTGCCCTAAAGCAAAAGAAAAATGTCTGCATATAACTCTTGACTACAGCAATTTGAAAGAAAGATTAATCCAAGAAGGCAGCAGGAGAAAGGAAGCATCCATCACTTTTCTAGATTAGATATTTATTGAATAGTTCTCCCTAAAGAAAAAACTCTTACAAGAAGATGGTAGCTAATCTTTTGTATTTTCTCCACAAGAGAGTCACAAAAAGAGGATATCACCCTAAAGAATGAAAATAACCAGCACATTGCTAAAGTTCTCCCAACATAAATATAAGAGATATCATGTGGAAATAGAAATTTGATGACAGAATATCACAACAGAAAACCTTTTGCACTATCTATATACTTGTTCGTGGATTTATTTACTACTTTTTGGTTGGCATCATCCTTCCCTAACTTGAAAGTAACCGTCTCTTTTTGACAATCACCGGCTGTGGATTATTGGCAAGTGACCACCAAGCTATCAATGCATTCCCAAGCAAAATTTCACCAGTTGCTTCAAGAGACCTCACAAACAATCTTAGCTTAGTTGCTAGTGAACCCATTTTATAGGAACAATTAGACGAAGCATTTAGATAGATTAGTGAAGTCCATCCAAAATTAGCAGAGGAAAGTTTTACATACAGGTGTCAGTTTTTGTTTATCTTCACAAACAATCAACTTATATCACAGGTAAAAGAAAGTACCGGAAGGCAAAATCCGCATTGGTCGTCCTAGTGAAGCCAAATTACAATTAGCCCTCCGACCATCAATGACTGGATTTGGATTTGAACAAGCTCTCTTTGCAGCTTCAGGGTCACGAAACGTTACCTAACTTCCAATGAATTGACAACCAATTATTATATAATATATAGAAAATCAATTGATAAATAAGATTTGCCAAAGCAGAAGTAAAGGAATGAAAGTGATGAAGAGTAATTAACTACAATTAGGCTCTAACATCATGTACTGTAATAATCGAAACATATATTCCATCACCGCCAAATAATTTAACAATATGTTAACTTTTTTTTGAATTAAAAATCCAAACTTTCTCTTTTCAATGCTGAGACAATATTTGATGAGTTTTATATGTGCAACATAGGCAACTTTTGATTGTAGCTTAAGGTGTCACATGACTTCATGCAAGTTGCAACAAAGTCTGGCAACACATCACAAATTTCATATACATGACACTTTGCATGTTTTATATAGAAAAAAGCATATAAGTATTTATCTCTCATGTTCCCCACCACCTCCTTAAAGACCAAACACTAAATTATTTGGACAAGCCTCACATAGTCTACCTTTCATTCATTAAACTCTTGTAGGGTTAAACAGCTGAGTAAAAAACAAAGCAATCTTTAGTGCCGCCAAAATTAAAATCAATAAAAAATAACTAAAAACCAACAATTCATATGGTAGCCCAAGAAGAATCACTTACAAAACCATAGCCTTTGGAACGACCAGTATTCTTATCAGAGATGACAACAGCTTCAAGAATCTCCCCATACGGCTCAAAATACCGGCGAAGAGCATCACTCTTAGTTTCCCAAGCCAACCCTCCAACAAATATCTTGGTATAAGTTGTATCCCCAAAGGGTTGTTGTGGTTGCGGTGGTGGTTGTTGTGGACCCATGAATTGCATGCCTGGTACCACCTGAGGATTAGCCATTAAAAACCCAGTTTTGAGCTAAAAAAGATTGGATTTTTATGATGCCCAGAGGGTTGATCAGCGAAAGAATAAGGATATATAGAGCAAAACCTGCAAAACCCTTGTAAAACCCTAGAGATTGAAGGATTATAGGAGGGTTTTGGTGGGTCAAACTCAAAACTGAAAAGGTGGGAAAACAGGAGCGGGGAGGAAGCAAGGGTTCGTGCCAGAACAGTGAGGGGTACGCGTATGTTATGCGGGAGAACCTTCCAGTGGAATAAAAATGAAATAAACTACAATGATTAATGACTATTATTGCATTATAATATTCAAAAGCATTATTCATGTTTATCAAGGAGAAATAGAGAGTTTTTTTTTTCTTTTTTTTTTTATTTTTGTTTTGTCTGTTTCTTTTCTTCTTCATACTTTTCTTCTATTTTTCTTTCACCAGAGAACGGTGTGTCAGGATTTCGAAATTTATTGTTTGACTTGCATGAAAATTATATACTGTTACTTGGCGTACAAGGTTTCTTGTTTGCTAGAATTACTGGTTTGCATCTACAATCCATAATAAATCTACCGGAAACATTTTATTATTGGAAGTTTTGCGTTCCAAAGTTTTATGGTTAGTTAAATGTTGACTAAATTTATATAATTTTTTTAGTGTTAGTTGAGTTATCATTGCAAATAATCTATAAATGAAGACTTTTTTTTTTCTATGATTATATTACAATACAAATTGACGTGACAAGTCATTATTGTATTTTAGTTATCACAGAATAAAAATAATAGGATGATTCTACAATACCTTTAAAGTGCCATAGCTTAAGTTTAAATTCACGTTAAATGGTATTTTAGACTCTTGAATTATAACGATTTCCATCGTTGCAGAGTAAAAATCACACTGCTTTCTTCATTGAAAAATACAGATTGAGAGAACAATAACCTTAGTGATTGACCATAGATCATTCCTAATTGTTCAAGATACATTTTTATTGGTACTGTTTAATAAACGGATTAATTATTTTGCTTGATAACATGCATTCAAAGAATTTATGAAGAATTATTAGCATATGTTTTTTTTTCCCCCATTTTCTTAATGGCTAAGGGAATGCAATTCTTGATTCAGTGACAAATGGACGACACCAGGGGACCCAGGATATGCAAAGTCCACACCCCACAGAGAGTTCAAACCATCATGATAGCGATGTTTTAATTCATCAATATGTTCTTCCTTACCATGTCGACTTGCGTATAACTTTTGTCCAGAATTTGTCAATAAACTTGAAAATTGTGTATATCTTGAACTTGATTTTTAGTCAAGCAAAAGAAGAAACAAAATTTTTTTAATTGGCCAAAGCTCGTATTTATATAGTTGGTGTTCTAAAAACTTTAACGAGGTGAGCAGAAAATGAGGTTAACGAGTCAATAAAAACTGCAAATTTGTTTAATCTTCTTTAATTAAATCGGTTAACTTAAGGAAATGCTAGCGAGTGTATGGAGCTTGACTGGAACGTCCAGTAATTAACTTGCTCATATTAATCAAATGTATGTATGTATGTATGTATGTATTAAGACTAATTCTGCCATAGGAGGAGACGTAGTCCAGTAATGCCAGCTGCGAAAACAGCCTCCAGAAGATAAAGATGAGGAAATTGTGTCTGTCTGTTGATTCACGAAAGCGACTAAGAATGACCTTTGAACGGCACCGTAGGAGACTGGGCGTGGGTCTGTCTGCTTCATCATTTAGATTATGCATTAATAACAAGAACAAGAACTCCGAGATGATAAAGAAAGTGTCACACTTGATCTACCACCACCTGTGAGGAAATGAGTTGGATATAATTATACACTATCAAAGGAAACTGCAAAAACATTGACGAAATTGACCGACCAACTCCGCCCCCTAACCCCACCACACACACCCAAAAAAAAACAAAAACAATATGGTATTCCAATACCAAATGATGATGTATAAAATTAAAAGTGAATTCTGAAATTAAGTTAATTCTTCTCACTATTAGTGTTCGAATTTTGGGTTTGATAGTTAGAAATGGAGAGGAATGGGAGGCAAAAAAAAGTCTCGTACTAAAAAAAATTAAGAGTTGGTTTGGAGTTGCGATACCTTTGGTTGCAAAGCACTTTTGAGTGCCAAAAATAATTTTTTGGAGGCGTTTGGTGAATATAATCTCATAAAATTAGGGGCGAACCTTTTCGTCACTCCTAATGATAAATAACTCCAAAATGATAAAGAAAGTGTCACATTTGATCTACCACCACCTGTGAGGAAATGAGTTGGATATAATTATACACTATCAAAGGAAACTGCAAAAACATTGACGAATTGACCGACCAACTCCGCCCCCTAACCCCACCACACACACCCAAAAAAAAACAAAAACAATGGTATTCCAATACCAATTGATGTATAATATTAAAAGTGCTAATTCTGAAATTAGGCATACTTAATTCCCTTCATTGTTAGGTTCATGACTCGAATCTTAAATCTATTAGTTAGAGATAGAAATGATCGCGGGAAGGGCGGGAGGTAAAAAAAAAAAAAAAAAATCATACACTAAAAGAATTAAAAATAAGGATGTTGAGGTATGAAGTTTTGGTTTGTCAAAACATAAATATCAACAATACTCTGGCTATAACGAAGTAAAATGAAACTGAAAATGAGTTTTGAATTTACTACTGCTTCTATCCTGGATAAACTTTGGCGTGATTTGAAGTAGTCTAATAAAGAAAATTGTAAATGAAAATAATAAATTTCATAAGCAGAAAAAAAAAAAAAGTATATCGTCCAAGAATGGGATCGATGTGTCTCGTATCTCTGATGGGCTCCATTTTGGGCTTTAATTTGGTGACTTTGAAGAGGTCTGTGGAAATATGGGCCTCCGTCCGCCTCTCTGTCTTTCTTTTCATTTTTTAACACGAGCCATGTATGCAGCGACAAGGAACAAACCAAAGCCTGCTATCTTATACTATTAGATCCAAAGATTGATTTCGTTTAACTCCTCTAAGACTATTGGGAATGTTAAACTATGTCAATTATTGAGCGCATTTTAATATATCTTTAATCATCCATTTGCCCCTGAATATACATAACAATGTGTGAATGGTACACTTACATCAAATTGGCCCCTTAATAGAGTAAAAGATTATCGTATCCAACTCTAGCCTTTTCACCAAGGGCGAAATTAAATGGCTGAATTTAGATAATCAAGCAGTCTGTCACAATTTTTGAAGACTCCGATTTCACAAGTCAAAAGTCACAAGTAGTGCATTAACTAACCATTAGAGTTGGTTTAATGGTTAGGAGAGGGCTCTTAAAGTGCCTTTCATTGTCAAATTCAGGATTCGAATTCTGGACGTGACAGTTGAATGTAGGAAGGTTGTATAGATGGGTGGGAGGGTTAAAATAAAAAATTGGAGGTAGGTAGTACATTATCTGTATAACTTGCCAAACCTTTGTACTTCGAGTTGGTACAGGGAAAGGGTTCCAAATTGATTGGCCGGTGATCCCAATCTTTGGACCGAATTTGATGTTGAATGGGCAACTACAACCCACATGGAAACATTTGAACAAGCAATCAGCCCATTAAGTAACCGGGACATTGGAGGATGCCCTTTATTATAGCCCCAAACGCTAGGTTGTCTCTATTGAATTTTGAAGCCATCTTTTTTTTTTTTTTGAAGCCATCTTTGTAGTTGGGAGTTAAAGCCGAATATGCTGAAACTTAATTTTGCCATTAAAAAAAAATAGATGGCAGTTGGGAGTTAAATCCGAATATACTGAAACTTAATTTTGCCATTAAAAAAAATAAAATTTGATCTATGAAGAAGTGAAATGGTTTCATTATTATTGGTGAGCGGTTTCATTATCACTAGACCTTTTGTGGCATTTCCACTATGAGGAAGAATATTTAGGGTGCATTTAATAAAATTGAAGTTTGAAAATTAAAATGTGCTAAATTACTGAATTGTTAGATATTAAATCTGATACATTTGAGCGCATATCGCATCAAGTGATAAATAAATAGTTTATCACTTATTTTTTGAGTAAGCTTTATATAAGAAATTGATTGCCACTTAATTAATTCAAATGTTCTATTTTTTATTATCAAACGTGTCTAAGCATGCTAAGATTTGAATCCATTAATCTTAAAGTATTAGATTATCAAACACGGCCTGAGCAGAGCATGTGACATTATGGCAAAGTACTTTCATACTTGTGGTGGTGTTCATTAATTTCGTTTCGGTTGTCCTCGACCCTCTCTGGTCTCTCATGGCGTGCTGGACGCCGTCTTCCCACCAACACCTATGCACCGAACTATTGACAGTCAGTTCCAACTCCATCATCTGTATGTGATAATCACTATCAAAGATAACTACGCCACAGAATTGAAAAACATCATTGTTTTTGGTCATCAAATCATAGTTACACTGTGCCCGTTATAGGTTAGACGAGATTGTGTGCAGTGAAATCATGTTCTAATGCATGCATATATAGGGCGATGCAAAATGATAGTGAGGTTTGTTTAAGTAAGTTGGCACTAAATGAATTCTTTTTGGAGGTAAAAAAATATCTTCATGTCATTAAATTCTCTTGAATGCTGAACTAATCAAGCAATTACAGGCAGACTAAAATAATGCACGATGTACTTAGCTTCAAGGAAAGGTGCAGGTCATTGTTCACTGAGATTTCCATGCCCATCCCTTTCTTGTTTCTCATGATGAAATTGCCTAGTTACCTTGAATTGGTATGGTTTCATGGACAAGGACTTCAGCCCACCGTTCATGAATAGACTAAGATGTAAGGCCAACAACAATAAATTGTTTGTTGAATTTTGCGAAGCGGTATCGATTTTCTCCCCAAGTAGTTTAAAAGAAGCGACTCCTAGGAGTTTAACAAACTTTTGTCTTTGTTTATCTAGGATTCATTCCTTCGTGGTTTATAAGTGCGAAGGTTAACTAGCTCAAAGTACAATCAAGTTAATTTAAATTTCAGAGACTTAAATACTTGCATAATGATATCTTGGGTAATTAGCGTTTAGCGGAGAATAAACACATTTGGTTGACAATAAAAGAAAATTATGGGTTGAAGGGCATGTGGGTAATTAGTCCTCTTTTATTATAAATTTTTGGTCTAACAAAGTTTTTTTTTTTTTTCAAAATTTTCAAAAAATTAGTTGTCTGCACATGACACTACGTGCGGGTTTCGGTAGTAATTGGTAAAATTAGTTAATGGGACTAAATATGTTTAGGAATTGAG